ATTATATGGAAGTGTGGACTCAGATAACACAGTTCAAATCAGACCTTGTGGGATTTTCTGCCTTGATATTCTGGGTTATGTGGAAGGGCCCTAAGCCTCATGGAAAGCACAAGTTTGGAAGGTTTGTATGGCTGTGCGGAAAGGCCTTAACCTCATGGAAAGCACAATTTTGGAATTACTTTCATTTTGGTTTGCCTTAATATTTTATTTGATCCTTTTCCAACATCAGAAGGAAAAGTAGCATCTAAAATGGTATTTTTCCTGCCTTTGATACAATTGCATCAGAACAGCATTCAATTCCTATAAAAGCAAAATCCAGCCCTGCAGAAATCAATGGGGACTCTGAATTTCACTCTATTCCCTCCTTGATCAGCAGTATGCTTTAGATATGGTAAACTAGCCTATTGTATCCAGAGTTGAAAGACACTGTAACTTTTCAAAACTCCAATTAACTCATTACAAACTCCCAACCCTGTTTTTCTTAATTAACATTGAAATGTGATGAGACAGAAAATGTCTATAAAAATCACACACACACATATATATGATTTTTATAGATATTTTCTGAGTGAGGCCCCCTTCCACCAAAGCTGAATAAAATCCCACATTATTTGCTTTGTACTGGGATATATGGCAGTGTGGACTCAGATAACCCAGTCCAAAGCAGATATTGTGGGGGCCCTTCCACGCAACCCTATATCCCAAAATATCAAGGCAGAAAATCCCACAACATCTGCTTTGAAGTGGGTTATCTGAGTCCACACTCAGATAGTCGGATTTCCTGCCCTGATATTCTGGGATATAGGGCTGTGTGGAAGGGTCCTGGCTCAGGAAATAAAATCCACAATAAATTCCAAATACAATGGATTCCTTTTGTTTATATACCTAAATATTCTTCCACTAGCTCTAGGTATTTTTAGAAGTCTCCTTATTTGTTTCCGTGTTTACATTAAAGTCACAACACAATGTTTATCTGTTCTTAATGTTCTGCATTTTCATATGATAGGAATAAGCTCCTAAGCTCTTTTGATACTGGGGAGAATGATCTCAGGAAAGTGCTTAGAGCAGGGGTCCTCAGCCCATCCCAGGGGCTGAAACTGTGCTTGCTCAGGGTCAACCTAAGTCTGAAATGACTTGTAAGTACATAACAACAACAGCAACAACAACAACAACAATCCTGTCTCATCAGCCAAAAGCAGGCCCACACTTCTGATTGAAATACTAATATGTATATGTTTGTTAAAATTGTTCTTCATTTTTAATTATTGTATTGTTTTTAAGTGTTTTTGCACTACAATAAGATATGCACAGTGTGCATAAGAATTCATGTTTTTTTCAAATTATAATCCGGCCCTCCAACAGTTTGAGGGCCCTCTCTTTAAAAGGTTTGAGGACCCTTGGCTTAGAGGTAGTTAAAATGAGAACTCTTGGCTCAGTGTGTTATGATCCCCTTATTTTTCATCTTCATGAATCACAATTAGGGATTTTAAAGCTTTAAAAATTCAACAAATACCAACAGTACAATTCTCTAGTTTCTGCTCCCTCTGAGTCCCCTTCTACACCGCCATATACAATCCAAATGATCTATTTTGAACTGTCTTATATGGTAGTGTGAATTTATACAATCCAATTCAAAGCAGATTTATCTCATTTGCTAATCTGGGTTATATGGCAGCGTAGATCCGCCCTGAAGTGGGCACAGGACTGCAGCACAAACTTTCCAAAAGAAACCCAGAGCCCTTCCACACAGCCCTATATCCCAGAATATCAAGGCAGAAAATCCCACATTATCTGAGCGTGGACTCAGATAACTCAGTTCAAAGCAGATATTGTGGGATTTTTTGCCTTGAGATTATGGGATATAGGGCAGTGTGGAAGGGCCTGCAGAGGCCAAAGAGTTTTCTGGCCCTTGCTGATAAACCAAAATATTTGAAAAATCGGAATTGCGCTCTTAAGGAAACATAAAAGAGATGGAGCTATAAAAGTCACCAGAAAGCAGCAAATGATTACAATGCAGAGCCAAGGATATGTATCTACGCTGTCCACTTTGGGTCTAGAAAGTACTGTGTCCTAAATGAGTCACCCTGCAGTGCGCTAGAGGCCTTAAACAGGAAAAAGTATATAGCAGGCTACTCTGGGCACCTCTACACTGACACTATAATCCAGTTTGGAACTGTGGCTGGGGTGGTGGTGGTTAGACTGCCATGCTCCAAACTGGTTTGAGGCCAGAGATGAGCATAAGTTTGTAAAAAAAGAAGAAGAAGAAGAAGAAAGAAGAAAAAGAAGGAATGTGACAGTTAGCAGAGGAAGTGATCAATTACTTCTCCCAGGGGATCAATTAGTCTCTTACTTACTGAGTCCCTTTGGGGGTATAGGGAAGGTTATAAATAAAGTATTATTATTATTATTTGATATACAAGATTAGGACACAGCAGACAAGATCATTATGCTGGCTTTTTGTATTTGATCACACATCAACACTTTGCAATTATGATTATGTATAATTAATAATAATAATTTGTATTACTACTAATACTAGCCAGCCCTGCCCTTGGGGCAATTTTGGCACCCTCTGTTCTGGATCTTTTTACTGAGAGGTCTTGTCTATAACACACTCTGCAGTGCAAAACTGATTTCGCTCTGGATCTGGGATACACGGGATCAGGCGCAAAACACTTTGGGACTGAACTCTTGATGCTGGCATTGGCAGTGTGCATTTTATGGCCACCAGTGTGGCTTCAAGATGCATTATATAGTCAGTGAAGAAGGGCCCTACACTGGGCCATTTAATGTACTTCAGCACATTTAGGTATAAATGTTTATCACCAAAGCATTGAATGTTTGCCTTTTTGCTTGGAAGCCACCCTGAGTCCCCTGGGAAATAGGGTGGCCTATAAATAATAATAATAATAATAATAATAATAATAATTATTATTATTATTATTATTATTATTAGAAACACAACAAGATGCGTCAACAGCAAACAAGATCACTTTGCTGGTGGTTGTATTGGATCACACATAGGACACTTCCCAAGTATCTAAGACTGTGTGATTTATTATTATTATTATTATTATTATTATTATTATTATTATTATTATACCACATCTACACTTAAGTCGGAATGGGGCTGGATCTGCTCCTCGATGCTGCACAGAACTGCTAAAGTGAGGCAAGGTTTGATGAACTGCTCTGAAGTGGATTACAGGCAGTCCCCAAGCTGGGAACAAGATTGGTTCTGTAGGTTTGTTTTTATGTATTTATTGACTGTATTTTTACCCTGCTTTATTTACTGCATTTTTTCCTCACCCAGAAAGGCTTCCAGAGCACTTCTAAATTGGCAATAGTTCAATTCCACCACAAATATAAATATAGAAATACAATATATACACACCATACATTAAAATCAGTAAACAAAACAAAACAGAAAAATCATAAATTAAAATAAACTGTTAAAACAACATCAGATCCAAAGTTCTTAAGTTGAAATTGTATGTAAGTTGGAACAGGTACATTTTAAAAGTGTAACTCCAACTCTATACATATATATATATATAGAGAGAGAGAGAGAGATTGAGAGAGAGAGAGATTTTTTTGATAGTATAAGGAAGGATGCAGAGAGAGAGAGATGCTAAAGAAACAGTATATATATTGGAGCAGTTACATTTTGAAAGTGTAACTCCAACTAGATAGATAGATAGATAGATAGATAGATAGATAGAGAGTGAGTTCTGGATAGTATAAGTAAGGATGGAGAGAGAGAGATGTTAACGGAAACAGTATATATATAGGCACAGTTACATTTTGAAAGTGTAACTCCAACTATATATATAGAGAGAGAGAGAGAGTGTGTGTGTTCTGAATAATATAAGGATGGATGGAGAGAGAGAGAGAGAGGTGTTAACAAAACAGTATATATATTGGAACAGTTACATTTTGAAAGTGTAACTCCAACTATATATATATAGAGAGAGAGAGAGAGAGAGAGAGAGAATGTTCTGGGTAGTATAAGGAAGGAGTTAAGAAAACTATAGGAACAGTTACATTTTGAAAGAGAGAGAGATGTTAATGAAACTGTATATGTATATTGGAACAGTTACATTTTGAAAACTTAACTCCAACCAAACCTATCCATCTATTTATCTACTTATATCTATCTATTTATCTATATCTATATTTCTATATCGATCTCTATCTATATATCCAAAGCCACAGTATATATATTAGAACAGGTACATTTTGAAAGTATAACTCCAACAAAACATGTGTGTGTGTGTGTGTGTGTGTATGTATATGTCTGTGTGTGTGTGTGTGTGTGTGTGATATATAGATTGTGGCAGGAGCCCCCCCCCCCCCAGTGGGTTAAAGCACTTAGCTGCTGAACTTTTTGACTGAAAGGTCGCATGCATCTGGGGAGCGCCATGAGCTCCTGCTGTTAGCCCCAGCTTCTGCCAACCTAGCAGTTCGAAAACATGCAAATATGAGTAGATCAGTAGGTACCTCTCAGGGTGCTCCATGCAGTCATTCTGGCCACATGACCTTGGAGGTGTCTATGGACAACAGCTTAGGGTTAGAAATGGAGATGAGCACCAACTGGACAATGTCAGGGGAAAACCTTTACCAAAGCTATATATTGTGGCTTTGGATAATAGTATAGGGAAGGATTAACACCCCTTGTGTGGTGTTTGTGTTGCGATCTGTGTCCCTGTGCAGAAGATTTCACCTCACTTTCGGTCCCTGTGATAATGGGATTTGGAAAAATGCGACTTGTTGTCTTCAGCAGAGACCCCTTTTCCCCAAGAGGGCTCTTTCAGGAGTGAATTTCTCTTCTTAGAGGGAGATTTCTCTCACTTTCTGTTGTCTCAGCCCAGTTTTTAGCTATGTAAAGGGACTGCCTGTGCACCAAATCAATTGTCAAGCAGGCGTACATTGGGCGGCCTAAAGGGAAAGAGGTAGGAGGAGGAGGAGGAGGTCTTCTCAACCCCTTTGGAGCTCCTTACCTTGACTTGGCTCTCGGTCATGCCCAGCGAGTAGGCGAGGCGGGCTCTCTCGGGCCCGGCCAGGTACTTGGTCTGCTCGAAGGTTTTCTCCAAGGCGAAGATCTGCTGGCCGGAGAAGGTGGGCCGCGAGTGCTTCTTCTTGCCGTCTTTGTCCAAGACCATCCCGGCCTGGGCTGCAAGCAGAGAGGAAGGGGAGCCGTCAAGGAAGAAGGAAACAACGCACCGAACTCCTGCGTGGACCAAAGACCAAGGCTTAGCCCTCCGTTCGCTCCCGGCCCTGAACCCCCTGAGTGGCTTCCAACCCAGCCTGAAAACCCACTGGAGGGTCTCAACCCTTCCCAATGCTTCCCAGGGACAGATCCCGACCAAGGAGAAGGACTTCTTAGGCCAGGATCAGGAGCAAGGAGGAAATACAAGGCCCGGCTTGATGCTCCCCCCGCCCCGCACCCCCTTGTCCACTAGGAGCCTTTTCTTCCTCTTTGGCCGGGAAGTCTCGAAAAACACCCTCACTTGATGGGATCCCCTTGGAAAAGTTTTCTCTTGCTCCCTTCTCTGTTTTCAACAGGGACCAGCTTTCAGCTGCGGCAGGGGAATGGATCCTGGGGCATGTGCAGAGTGCGGTTCCCTTTCACCACTTTAAAGAATACTTTTTCGGGGAAAGGGGGGGCTATATCATCACTATGCGTGGAAAAGATACTAAGGTTGAAAACACGCCGAGTGGAAGGGACCCGACTCGAGAAAGGCCACGGGAGTAAAAAACGCCCCGAGTGGGAAAAGGACCCCACACGGGAAATTGTCACGAGTGGGAAATTCCCCACAAGTAGATATCTATACAGTGGGAAAGACCCTGGGAATGAAAATGACCCGAGTGGGGAAAAGACCCCACACGGGAAATTGTCACAAGTGGGAAATTCCCTACAAGTTGATATCTATGGAGTGGGAAAGGCACTGGGAGTGAAAATGGTCCGAGTGGGGAAAAGACTCCACGCGGGAAATGGTCACGAGTGAGAAATTCCCCACACGTATATATCTATAGAGTGGGAAAGACCTTGGGAGTGAAAATGGTCCGAGTGGGGAAAAGGCCCCACGCAGAAAATTGTCACGAGTGGGAAATTCCCCACACGTATATATCTATAGAGTGGGGAAGACCTTGGGAGTGAAAATGGTCCGAGTGGGGAAAAGGCCCCACGCGGAAAATTGTCACGAGTGGGAAATTCCCCACAAGTAGATATCTATGGAATGGGAAAGACCCTGGGAGTGAAAATGGCCCGAGTGGGGAAAAGACCTCACGCGGGAAACCCTCACAAGCTACTCTGAGTCCTTTTGGGGAGATAGGGTAATATATAAAGTTTTTATTGTTATATTTATAACCCTCACGAGTGGCAAAAAAATGCCCCGCGTGGGAAATTGTCACAAGTCTCCACAAGCGGACATCTATGGAACGCGAAAGACCCTGAGAGTGAAAGGACACCAGGCAGGGAAAGTTTAAAATAAGCTCAATAATATCATTGTTAGGACATTAAGATAAATTAATTTAAGAATCCCTGCTACAATCAACATACAGGATTATATTATAATAATTTAGGGAATTAAAGGAAAGGGAATCAGAGGAGGGAGCAACATCCACACTATAATTAAACGTATGTAATCCCAATTTTCTGCTAGTATAAAGTCCTAGCTTGTACTAGCTTGATTCCGGGAGTGAAAAGTTCCCGAGTGGAAAAAGACTCCACGCGGGAAATTGTCACGAGTGGGAATAAGCCCACAAGTGGACATATAAATGGGAAAGACCCTGGGAGTGAAAAGTCCATAATGGAGAAGAGATCGCACGTGGAAAATTGTCACGAGTGGGAAAGCTATGGAGTGGTCATCTATGGAGTGGAAAAGGCCTCAGGAATAAAAAAAAAAGCCCCGAGTGGGAAAAATACACTACGCGGGAAATTGTCACGAGTGGGAAATCCTGCACAAGTGGATATCTATGGAGTGGGAAAGTCCTTGGGAGTGAAATGGTCTAAAGTGGGGAAAAGACCATATGCTGGAAATTGTCACAAGTGGGAAAAGCCACACAAGCGGACATCTATGGAGTGGGAACGACTGCGGGAATGAAAAAGTCCAGAGAGGGGAAACGGCCCTACGCGGGAAATTGTCACAAGTGGCAAATCCCCCACAAATGGGAGTGGGAAAGAGACTGGGAGTGAAAAGGTCCAGAGTGGGGAAAAGACACTACGCGGGAAATTGTCACGAGTGGGAAATCCACCACAAGTGGATATCTATGGAGTGAGGAGGGAAAATCGCCCGGGAAAGGACCCCACGCGGGAAAGTATCACGAGTGGGAAATCCACCACAAGTGGATCTCTATGGAGTGGGGGGGGGAGTGGAAAGCTCCAAGGTGGGGAAAAGACCCCACGCGGGAAACTGTCACAAGTGGGAAATCCACCACAAGTGGATCTCTATGGAGTGGAGGGAGTGAAAAGGTCCAAAGTGGGGAAAAGACCCCACGCGGGAAACTGTCACGAGTGGGAAATACACCACAAGTAGATCTCTACGGAGTGGGAGGGGGAGTGAAAAGGTCAAGAGTGGGGAAAAGACCCCACGCGGGAAACTGTCACGAGTGGGAAATACACCACAAGTAGATCTCTATGGAGTGGGGGGGGGGAGTGAAAAGGTCCATAGTGGGGAAAAGACCCCACACGGGAAACTTTCACGAGTGAGAAATCCACCACACGTAGATCTCTATGGAGTGGGGGGAGTGAAAAGGTCCAGAGTGGGGAAAAGACCCCATAGTGGGAAATACTGGAAGTGGAAACGTCCCGAGTAGGGGAAAAAGGCCCCACGCGGGAAAAGGAACACGAGTGGGGGATGTCCACTTACCGGGGCATCCGAGGCGCGGGTCCCTCCAGGGCGAGCCCTGCATGACTCCGGGCCAGAAGATGGGCGGCCTCCCGGGCAGCTCGGCCAGGGGCTTCGGGTAGCGGGGCACGACGGCGGCGGCGGCCGGGCTGAAGTACATCCCTGCGGCGGCGGCGGCGGCGGCGAGGCCGTTGAGGCGGGGCAGGCCGGTGAGGAGGTTCCCGGCGGCGGCGCCGAGCGGCCTGCCCAGGATGTCGCTGATGCCGTGCGGGGTCCCGAGCGCGAACTGGGCGGCCCCCCCTCCGCCTCCGCCTCCTCCGCTTCCCGCGGGGGCCTTGAAGGGCGCTCCCCCGGGCGGGCCTTGCAGCGCGTAGGGGAAGAGCGAGCTCTTCATCTCGGCCATGCTGTGGAGCGCGGCCAAAGGGGCGCTGCCGCTGCCGCTGCTGAGCACGAAGGCGCCCGGCGGGCGGTTAGCCTCCATCGGCCCCACGGCTAACATTGGGGACGCGCATTAAAGGGGAAGGCGGCCCGAGAAGAGGAGTCCGGCCCGGGCCTTGCTTCCACACCCGCCTGGAAGCAAACCCGGTTCGCCTTTAAGAGAGTTTGAGTGTCAATCAGAGACAAGTTTCCGCACCCTTAACATCGCTCGTTTCGGAGGTTACAAATCCTTTGCGCGGTTCCTTTCGACACAACTCCCCTCCCCTTTTTGCTCCCCCCTCCCCTGACTAAAATGGTCCTTCCTCCCTCCCTCCTCTCCCCCCTCCCCTTAACTAAAATGGTTCGCTCTCCCTTCTTCGCTTTCCCTTTTCCGAACTCAAGTTGGTTCAAATGGACTCTTTGGCGTCCGGCTGCTGCGATGATAACCTCCCAGCCACCTGCCCGCCGCGCGCTCGGATTGGCCGGCTCTTTTTCTCCCGCTAGGATTGGACCAATCGCTTTCTAATTTTTTACCCTCTTCCCGCTTTTCATCAGCGGAAAAGAGGGCGTGGCTACAAGGAAATGGGCGTGGTTTGGGATGCCACAGAAAAGGGCGGGGGGGAGGAGGAGGAGGAGGAGGAGGAGGAGGGAGAGCCGCGTTGATCAAGTCAAGGTGCTTTAAATGGCTGTAAATTCACCCCCGCTGATTTATCATCCGGAGGGCGAAATAAATCCCGGAGTTAGAACATCTTTCTTTCCACTGGACTTCAAATAAACAAACAAACAAATATACAAATATACAAACAAATATACAAACAAGCGGAAATAATTGTCTGAAGCCTTGGAGGGCGATTAATGCAGAACTAATGCAGTTTGGCACCACTTTAATGGTATGGAATCCTTTGGCAGAGGGGGCTAAAGACCTTCCAGGCTAAGAAATTCCCACTTTAGTCCCTGGGTGCCTTTGGAGAGGGGTCCCTCTGATGTCGCAAAGATTCCTCCCTTTTTGTGTGTCTTTTTATTAACTAAGTAGGCAAGTTTGCCTCGGAAAGGCCACCAGGAGAGAGAGAGAGGTCGACAGAGAAAAGAAATTTTGAGGGAAAACGCTCCCCCCTATTCTTCTCTTCTTTTTCTTGCTCCTCCTCCTCTTCTTCTTTTGCTCCTCTCCTCCCCTTCTTCTTTTCATTTTCTTCCTTTCCCTCCTTTTCTTCTCCTCTTCTTTCACCTCTTCTTCCATTTCTTCTCCTCTTCTTCTGCTTCTCTTCCTTCCTCCTCCTCTGCTTCTCCTTTTCTTTTCTTTTCCTTCCTCTTCTTCCTCATCCTCTTCTTCCTTCTCCCCTCCTCTTCTACCTCTCCTCCCCTTCTCTTCTTCTTCTTCCTCCTCTCCTTCTCCTCTTCTCCCTCCTTCTTCAGCTCTTCCTCTTTCTGCTCTTCCTCCTTTTCTTCTTCTTTCACCTCCCTCTTCTTCCACCTCTCCTCCTCTTCTCTTCTTTTCCTCTTCTTCCTCCTCCTTCTTCTCCTCTTCTCTCTCTCTCTTCCTCCTTTTCTTCCCTTTCTCCTTCTCCTCTCTCCCTCTCCTCCTCTTCTCCCTCCTTCTTCAGCTCTTCCTCTTTCTGCTCTTCCTCCTCCTTTTCTCTTCTTCCTCCTCTTCTTCTCTTCCTCCTCCTCTCCTTCTACTCAATAATATGTATTTATTTATACATAAATATTTGCCCGACCCTGGTCATTTCACAGATATAAACCCATTTTCCCACTTCCATCAGACCTCACTACCTCTGAGGATGCTTGCCATAGATGCAGGCGAAACATTAGGAGAGAATGCCTCCAGAACATAACCATACAGCCCGAAAAAACTACAAAAACCCAGTGATGAAAGCCTTCAACCATATATTTATTTATACTCCGCCCTGTCTCCCCGAAGGGACTCAAAGTATAACACAAATGGCAAACATTCAATGCCAAAACCAAACAAAAAAGCAGTCAAGAGGAGACAAGAAATGAATGAACTCAATATAACTTATAAACAACAGAAAATTAACAAAGGATAAACTAAATAAACCTAATAGAATTCAGGGAGTCAAACCAATTAAAAATACATTAAAAGCATAATCCTCTCCTCCTCCTCCTTCTCTTTTTCCTCTTCCTCCATCTCCTCTTCCTCTTCTTTCTCTTCTCCTCTCCCCCTCTTCCTCCTCCTCCTCCTTGTTCTTCCATTATTTCTTCTTCTTCCTCCTCTTCCTCCTCCTCACTCACCGACGCTTGACTGAGCTCTTTCTTCGCTTCCTTCTGACCCGTCCCTCAGCCTCTGGACTCAGGATGAAAGAAGGAAAATGGGTTCAAACCTAAAAGCAGCAGCATCATCAGGGCTGCTCCAAGAAGCTTCTTCCTCGGTGGTCGCGAAGCAAGGAAGGCGGCCGACAATTCGCCTTGACAGCAGTAGCAGCAGCAACAACAAAGGCCACAGTGGGACACTGAGTCGTTTTCAAACGTTCGTTTAGGGGGAAAAAATTACTTTGCATCTCTGGATCAGTTCTTCAGTTATACAACAGGAGATGAGAAACAATATTATGTGTCAAATTATAACTAAGAATGTGTTATAAACAATAACTAAGTTTATATTATGAAATAATACCTAAGAATATATATTTTCCCAGAAGTCTCCATACATAGGTAAAAAGCATAACAATATCATATATTATACTATAATATTTATATATATTTAATATTTTCAGATACCAAGGTAGATTAGCTACCATTTTCCACAATGTATGGCGACTTTAGGGACTACTTGTCTTATGATTAATATCAAATAATACGGATAGCATTTACCTGTCTACCAATGCACACATGCATATATAATGTATATATTTAATTTAATTAATATTGATATTATAATTAATATCCCATAATATACCATAATAAAAAATCCAATTCTAACATTCTATCTACCGATCAATGTATATGTGTGTGCGTGTGTTATTGTTTTATATATAGACAAATCTATCAATGTATATATGTGTTATATATATATAGAAAGAGAGAGAGAGACAGATAGATAAATGTGTTATTGTTAAATAAATATATAAATTAAACACACATAGAAACGATGTATATTATATATTTGATCTACATCCCATATGCTGTATATATAACGTATATATTAAATTGAATTAATATTGATATAATTAATATTTCATAATATACTATAATATCTAATAACACTATGTATATGTGTGTGTTACTGTGTTATACACTATATATATTTAATCTACATCCCATATTGTTAAATATATACATTATACACACACACACAAATAATGTATATATTTAACAACATACACACAACCATTTCTATCTCTATATGCATCTATCTCTATCTATCTATCTATTTATTTCTATATCTATCTATCTATGTGTATATGTTATATAGACAGATAGATAGATAGATAGATAAATGTGTTCTTGTTAAATAAATATATAAATTAAACACACATAGAAATGATGTATTTTACATACTGTATATATTTAATCTACATCCCATACGCTGTGTATATAATGTATATATTTAATCTATATCCCATAATATACTATTAGTTACATCTAATAACACTTTATCTATCAGTGTGTGCGCGTTATTGTTCAATAATATACATATACATGTACTGATAGATGTGTTATTGTTAAATATATACATTATGCACACAAAAACAAATAATGTATATATTTATTTTGCAACATACACACACAACCAAGTTTCTATCTCTATCTGCATCTATCTATCTATCTATCTATCTATCTATCTATCTATCTATCTATCTAAAATGCAGCCAAGGCACAGACACAATTTCTATATCTGTCTGTCTGTCTATCTATCTATCTTTCTATCTATCTAAAATGCAGCCAAGGCACACACACACACACACAATTTCTATATCTGTCTGTCTATCTATCTATCTTTCTTTCTATCTAAAATGCAGCCAAGGCACACACACACACACACAATTTCTATATCTGTCTGTCTATCTATCTATCTTTCTTTCTATCTAAAATGCAGCCAAGGCACACACACACACACAATTTCTATATCTGTCTGTCTATCTATCTTTCTTTCTTTCTATCTAAAATGCAGCCAAGGCACACACACAATTTCTATATCTGTCTGTCTATCTATCTATCTTTCTTTCTATCTAAAATGCAGCCAAGGCACACACACATACACAATTTCTATGTCTGTCTGTCTGTCTGTCTATCTATCTATCTATCTATCTATCTAAAATGCAGCCAAGACACACACACATACACAATTTCTGTGTCTGTCTGTCTATCTATCTATCTATCTATCTATCTATCTATCTATCTATCTATCTATCTATCTATCTATCTATCTATCTATCTATCTATCTATCTATCTATCATGCCTATCAGACTAGCAACCAAGGACAGTTAGGGTCGGTCTTAAACCTGTGTTGCTAAACATATGTCAATACGTATTTAGATGAACTGACCCATTTCTGCCTTCTAGTCTGATACAAATCATGGCCATTTCCTTTAGGATTTAGGATTAGTTTCACAATAAAAACCGAATCGACGGAATAGTGTCAAAGCAATGCTTCCGGCGGAGCTTTCTAGTGTTTTGATTGTTCAAAATACGGATTTCTCACGGATTCCGGGCATCTTTTCCTTGTTAACAGCAAGAATTATTTTCCAAGGGAAAGCCTTTCTGTGAGAAGGCAACCCAGGGGAAAAGAAAACAAAGCAGTAAGTGAAAGAAGGACTGGCGGAGGCGTGTTTCCAGGCTCCTGCGTTAGGTTTACACGACTTCTTGCTCCCAAATGCGCAACGAAGCGGTGCAAAAATGCTACACCGGTTGGAACAGCAGTGAAGTATCCCGCCTCCGAACCTTATTGGCGATGGACATCCCATTGATTTCAACAGACCGGGCTTCAGCCTATCTATGTAAATAAAAATACAAATAAAAATGTAATGTTCGTTTGTGGGATTAACAGAACTCAAAAACCACTGGACGAATTGCCCCAAATTTGGCCACAAGACACCTACTAACCCAAGGAGTGACCATCACTCAAAAAAATTGATTTTGTCATTTGGGAGTTGTAGTTGCTGGATTTATAGTTCACCTACAATCAAAGAGCATTCTGAACTCCACCAATGATGGAATGGAACCAAACGTGGCACACAGGACTCCCATGACCAAGAGGAGCTTAAAGCCAATAGACTCCTTCAGCAACAGAACATCCACACTTACATCAAGGCTGTGATGGACTCAGCTAGCTTA